CTCTTTATTCAATCGATTCAGCATTTCTTGCACTCTTTTAAATTTTCTCATTCACACAGCGCGCAAGCTTTGCTCTTTGGATCCAGTGCATTTCTGGTTACTTCAGAGATTCAAACGTTACTCCAACTTATTTCGTCGTTAGTGTTCGTACATTTCACTTACGTTCTCGTTTCCTTCTCTATTCTTTCTTTCTTTATTTTGTATATCATTTCGTATTAAACATTGTATTTTTTGTTTATCAAAAGAAAGTAAAAAACAGCGGGGGAATGTATCAATGCAATTGCATTTTTACAACAACCGCGTATGCTCTCCTTTATAAAAGTTATCGTAGTAAATAAAAATTACAAACAATTGCTTGATCAAGTTAAATGTTCTTCGGTATATTTTTTAAATGGTATTTGTTCGTATTGTGCAAACTTTATAACTAGTGAATGCAATTAATTATTATGATATAATTATATATGTATGCTTTCTGTTGCTTGAGTTTTGCCTTTTCTTTTTCTTCGTTTTTTTTCTTTTTTCTTTTTTTTTTTTTGTATACAAGGAATACCTACCTTATTAATATTATTTATTGTCATCTCCTACACTGATGATTCGAGACAATTTACGTGTAGGGCGATCTACGTTCTCGCTTTTATCGAATGTTCGTATTATTTTTCCTTGAATTTTTGCACGACCGATTCGCAATTAAAAGATCAGTTTGAATTTTGAAAACGCGCGGTTGAAATTCCAAAGTAACTATTTGAAAATAAGAAATTTGAAATTAAAAACGTAGGTAGCCGTACTGGTAGTTTGTCTTGACTATTAGCATTTTACTCATTAGTAGACGTACCTAATGCATTAGGTATACACGACATCTTTACACACTTACACACTCGAGAAAAATGGTAATGAATTAACGGTATTCTAAATGTAACATGTATATGATGGCTGTACAAATGTAACATTTTTTTCCATTATGTATGATGATAATGATAATGAAAAATGGGAAGTTTTGATGCAAAAAATGTGGTATAATTAAATTTACAAACAGAAAAAAAGAACTCGTGTACGCATCGATCGATACAAGTCCGGCTGTACAGTCGGTACAGGTATCGATTAATTGATTTACTCCCGAGTGATTTACCAATAAATTACTATTACTTTTAATTATTATAAAATACCATTTCTGTAATAACATTATGATATAAAACCATACATTGAATGGCAAATTTTAGTGGTTTTTTAGTGGTGTCCCGTGCCCGTTTTAAGTTTCCTTGTGTTGTAAATAGCGTAGCATTTGTACAATACCTATCAAGTGTAAGGATTGCAATGAACATTACGTAAAGTTGAAGATAAAGTTTATTATTACTGTTTATAACTTATTTGTTGGCTAGAAATTGCAGACTTTGCACGAACAAGAATCGCGAAATGCTATACGAAAATCTTGGATAAGATAAAATGCTTTGTTGTACTTTTCTCTGGTTAGTTCGTACCGTAATTATGCCAACACATATTCTTGAAAGTAACATATGAAAAGTTACATTGTTAATAGATTCAGCATTTTAAATTCAGTATACAAATGTGGCCACGGACATTTGTAAATAATTCCTTATTTTTATTCGCTCTCTTCTTTAGAGCGTTCCCTTTCGGAGCGTCTAGATTTCTTCTTACGGCGACTTGGACTTCTGGACCTAGATTTGTGTCTACGAGATCGCGACCTCGATCGATGTCGATGTCTAAAAAAAAAAACCAAAAACGTAAAATTCCGTTATCGAGGTGTTTGTAACATAGTTTGAGATTTTAATTTTGTAGCGCTTTATTACCGATCTTTGTGTCGATATTGAGAACGAGATCTATCGCGATCTCTTTCCTCGTCTCGCGACATTGAATCTCTTTCTCTGTCTCGTTCTCTAATCATGGAATCTTTTTCTCTTTCACGATCGCGATCTCTGTCCTTATCCCTTTCTCTATCTCTTCCCATCGGATCTAATTCTCTGTCGCGATCTCTTTCTCTTTCCCGATCTCTTTCGCGATCTCGAGAATCTCTGGATGGCATTATGGGAGGGATATTTGTAGGAGGTACCATGGTTGGTATTGTTTTTGGGCCAGTATCTTTATCATCTTCTCCTTCTGTCATTGGAATAGCTAAATTTGTCGGTTGCCACGTCTAAAGCAAAAGAGATGATCAAAATTTTTTTTGAAAAATAAACTATTTATAGCTTGTGATGTCATGCAACAAAAAGATCAGATTGACAAGATAAATAATAAGATCGTGCAATATATACCGGATCATTGCCCCATTGGTTATCCTGTGTAGGTTCGTAGCTTTGATAATATGGGTCTGTTTCTGGCATATAAAAAGGAGCTGGTTCTCCTGGATATCCAGGAGGAGGCATATCAAATGCAGGAGGCATTCCTGCTCCTGGAGGTGGTACACTCATATCTGGAAAACCTGGTTTTCTAGAGTATTCCCTCCTATCTGCAGTCATTACTTGTATCACATTCCCTTTCGGCGGAGATTTATCAAGATTTCTTCTAGAAGCCAAGCCTGAACTACCAATTACATCTATCGTTCCTGCCATTTTTCTTCCTGGAGGTGGTCCTGCCCTCTTTGGTCCCATTATACCGGAATATTTGCTGTTATCATTAGTAATTGCAACTTGAGGTACTCTCATGCTACCTGTATTACCACCACCACCTCCTGCATTCAATATTAAACCTACTCCAGATTCGTTTCTCATTCTTTTCTGCCTTTCACAATAAGCTCTCCATGTTTCTTCATTAAATCCATAATTAAAGTAATCGGTAATGTCAGCACCAGGCTGCCTCCAAGGTTTGTCTTCTAATTGGTCTAAATTGAACTCATGAGCAGGCATTCCATTGATAACACCTATAGTTTCAAATTCATCTATACTAAATTTTCCTGGTTGCTTGTTCAATTTGTCTGGTACGCCTGACGCATTTGTTAACAATCCTCCTCTTTTGATATTGAGGCTGCCATACGCAGGGGTCGATTTAATATCACCAATGACAACATGCACGTCGTCATCGGAATCTGAGTCACTAGCGGCTTCACCATCTTCTTGACTGGAAGCTTCTCTCACACCATTTTTATTTATCTCTGTATTGCTTTCATTCTGAGCATTATTGGCTTGAGGAGAGCCTTCCTCTTGCGGCTCTGTTTCCTCAGGTGCCTGTAGAAATAAGTCGTTTTATTTTGTTAGAACGTTTACACATCAGTTAGGTTATGTTGGATGTGGAACAACGCATTCAATGTAATAAAATATCTTTACTAATATTTTCAAGAATCGCAGACAGAAACAGTATAAAAAGAACTTGAACATGTTATGGTATCATTTTTATTCATTTTTTTTTGTTTCAATGAAATCTCACAACAATAACCGGATGAACAGGTTAGGAAAAGCGTACCTCTGTCGGTGGGTCAGGAGTATTTTCTGGTTTTTGATCTTCCAAGGTTTCTGACTTCTCTTGTATCGTAGTAGAGATCGAATCATTTTCTTGACTTTCTGGTTGAACGGACGTCGGCGTGTATTCTTTCCCGTCAGTCGAGTCACCATACAACCACTGATCCTCGTTTTCATCCGCCATTTTTCTTCTCCTCTAACTTGACAACTAAGGAACTATACAATTTGAACTCGCATAAACGTGTGAACGATCAAAATACGAATTGTTTCTCTTGCAAATTTGCGGCATGATAGCTAATCACATTTCGAAGCATTCAATATTTAATATTTGTTAATCTAAATTAATTTAAAGAACTCAATTCATCGTTCTCAATTATTCACGGGAATAAAAATTTGATAACTCTTATATTGATTGTTATAAAAGTCTTGAAAGATATTTTTAGAGTAATATGAATGTATCAAACACTGAATGACAAAAACTGAATCATCGATCATGGAAAGAATAAATCTGATATTAAACAAGATGGCAATTCTAAAATAAAGTTTACAAAATAACATAATTTTATTTAATTCAAATTTCTAATGTTTGTCTAATTTATGCAATAATTCGCATATAAAATACGTAACTATTTAATTGGAGATATAATTAAACATAATTAAACATAATTGTAATTATGAATCATTGCAAATTTTCAGAATTAGTTTTTTTTTTGCAAATGAAAATTTGACCAATTCATGGACTGTGAAACACTATCACCACGCAGCGGTGAAGCGGTCGAACTATCTCTGTCTATATCGCAAACTACTGCTCTCCTTGTCTAGCGCGCAGCATATATCTATCCTTGTCACGGTATGGTGTGGTCCTTATCTACGAACAACTGAAGTGCTGCCATCTATCGGAATTTTCATTTTTACAATTTTAGTTCCACTCGAAGTTGAAATGTGTATAGGTGGTAGCACCATCAGGTGGACAAGGAGCGCAATAGTGTGTGTTAAGGACAGATATATGGTGCGCCAGACAAGGAGCAGAATATTGTATGACAAGGACAAATATATGTTGCGCGCCAGACAAGGAGAGCAATAGTGAGCGATGTAGACAGAGAGAGCGATTAATTCCACTGTTTCACCGCTACGTGGTGATAGTATTTCGTAGTCCATGAATTTGATCAAATTTTCATTTGAAAAAAAAAACTAATTTGAAGGCTTAATTTGTAAACTTTCATTATTGAATCTCTCTAATTAAACTATGAGCTTTCTTCTTTAATTCCTTTTTTTGTTTTTGAGTTGCACATACAAAGATTTGCAAATTTTGTCTAATATATCGACGTATTTTTGTGAATAATATTTAATTTACCGTAAAATATAACTTATGATTAAAATTTGTAGACATGTTTCATTTGAAAAATTATTAAAAAATTATTGGTTTCTCTTAAATCGTTATTCTAATTGTCAATTGAAACCATAACATGTGACGCGAAAAAACGTTGTATGTCGGGTCTATTCTATCTTTAGTCGATGATTTAATGATTTGACGTGTAGAATATAGTGATTTAGTATAGCTACAATTGTTTTGTTACAAGATCGTGGTTAAGATGGGTGCGGATAAGAATGCAGAAAACCTTGTAAGTAGTATTACATAAATTTAATGAATAAAAGTTTCAAAAAATATACATTTAGATTTGTTATTAATTTTAAACATGCATCTATGCGTATTTTAGTTATAGTACATGCTGGTATACGCCACGTATGGTATTTTTATGGATATATAAAGATCGTAATTAATTTCAGTTTTCTGTGTTTACTAATGCGAATTTGCCTGGTGTAATATTACATATTACCTACAATTGTTATTGGGTTGTTTTATACATATTTATAATATGTTGCGTGTGCCGGTATAAAGCATGAAACGCAACAATAACATATGTATAATTTTATTCATACATTAATTAAATAGTCAACAGGTTTCTTTTCCAATCAGTTATTTATTGTTTCAGGTAATAAAAATCAATAAATGGGATGGATCTGCGGTGAAGAATGCATTAGATGATGCTGTTAAAGACGTACTTACAAAAAAATACAATTACATAGAGAATTTTTCTCTACTCGATGGAAGATTGGCTCTTTGCGGAATTGCTGTAACAGTTGCAATTGTTGCTCTCCTTTGTGATTATTTATATCCTTTCCCTGCATCGAAACCTGTATTAGTTGCTTGTGTTTCATTATATTTTTTTTTAATGGGACTTTTGACTTTGTATACAACATATAAAGAAAAGGGTATATTTGTCGTAGCCATTCAAAGGTAAAGTTAAATCTAATGTTATTTACTGTTTTATAGTGCTTCAAATAAATTTTAGATTGTCATATTTTATATATTTCAGAGATCCAGCAGGCTTCAATCCTGATCTAATTTGGGAAGCAAGCTCATATTTAAAAAGACATGATGACAAATATAATCTTGTATTGTCTGTTAGAAGTACAGCCACAGGAAATGTCAATGAAACTAGTGTTACAAAATCTGTTGCAAATTTTATTGATGTCAATGGTGTTGTTATACCAGAATTAGTAGAGAATGTTGTGACAAGTATGCATGATAGCTTAACTAATCAACGTAAAGAAAAGTAGCAGGAGCTCAATTAATTTTTTGATTGAACACAATTATTTTTTCTTATAATTCTCGGAATAATAATATTCTTTCTGTCATATATTTCATATTATTATACTTATACAAATCTGTTTCAAAAATAAAAGTCAAGGACAATTTTAAAATGACGTATGTATTATAATTCGTGTTTAAATACAATAGAAAAACAAATATAAACTTTTACATAGCTGTTAATAGAATAAAAATTTTCTGTATCTAATCTACTTATATTACTAGTGAATTATTATTTACATAGTTACGTCATGCTCTATTTGACAATTTCATTTTTAATATCACAGTTGAAATTAAACAAATGGTAGCTATTGAAATATAGTATGCATATCTTTAACAATCAAGAAATAAGAAAACAAAGTGACAAATGTTTAGAATATATAAATAATATGCCATGAGTTATTAATGAAAAATAGAGATGATTATTCATTGTTCCCTAAACAATGTACAGGTACAACATAAAACATGCTGTTTTCATAGATAATCGATTTTCGTAGATAATTTTTTTTTTCGTTTAATGTAGTAAACGTACACTTTTAGAAAAATTATAAAAATTATCAACAAACGCAATACAATTTACCTAATTTATATCTTATATAAATCTTGTTCTTGAAAAAAATAACTGTTTCCAGATGGATGAGATAATTTATAAATAGTTTATACTATTAACCGTGTGTTGTATCATCTTCTACAAAATCAGCTGCTTCTTCTCGTGTTACACATACTACATGAGAAACTTTGTTTCTAAACTTAACACCATAAAATTTGTTTGCATGTTGCAGTAGTTCTGGTCTGTAACAATTAATTATATGTGATTATATAAGAAATTATATATTATTTTTAGAGCATTTATAGTATTTAAGAAATATTAGAAAGTTACCGGAAAGTTGTCGTGATAAATTGTGCATCGGAACTAAGTTCATGAATCATATCCGCTACAGCTTTCCTATGTTGCGCATCTAAAGCTTGATCGATTTCATCAAATAAATAAAATGGTGCTGGGTCACACTTTTGAATTGCAAATATTAATGCTAATGCAACAAGTGATTTTTGTCCTCCAGATAATTGATTCATTTCTCTCATTTCAGCTCTATGACCAGTAAAAGAAACTCGTATACCTGTATGAAAAATATTTCGCAATGATTTATTTATTTTTTGTTTACTAATGAAAAAAAGAAATCTGCAAATTATCTTACCAACGCCGATAAATCTATCTGAATCAGCTGCTTCCGTTGTCGTATCATCTCCTTCATCTCCATCTGCAGTTTTCATAACCAATTGAGCATGACCTGATGGTACAAGTTTTTTGAATACTTCGCTAAAATATTTGCTTACCTAAATACAAAAAGAATGAATTAAATTATAAATAATATTTCACTTTTAGCAGTTAATTAGAAGTAAGTACAAAATAAAATTACATTACATACTTGTTTAAATGTAAATTGAATTGCTTCGCATTTACGTTGTTCAAGTACTGACATTAACTCTTTAATTTTTTCGTCGCCTCTGTCTAATTCTTCTTTTCTTTTTACCAATTTCTCTTTTTGATCACTAAACGACATGAACTGATCTAATGCTTTCTTATTTACATGACTAAAATAAAAAGTAATAAAGTATAATAAATTTTTGTTAAGTACAAAAGACTTTTATATTTCTGTATATATTATTCCATTATGTACCTGTATTTTTTTAAATGATTATTTGCTTTCTCCATTTCTTTAAACAACTGTTTGGTAGACATAGCACTAAATTTAGAATATACTTCATGACTAGGTAGTGCACCGAGTTCTGTAATTTTTTGTGTGCATTCTACTATTTTCTGTTGCAAAATATTCAATTTGCTGGCTAGTTTCTCCAAGTCTTTAGCATCGGCCTCTATTTTTTCTTGTGCTTCTTTTTCCTTGATTTTCCACTTTTCAACCTCCGCAGACTCTGCTTTTTGCTACAAAATACTTTATATGTAATATGTATTAAATTTAATACAGATAAATAATAATTTACCTTTTTTATAGCATTAGTCACCCTTTCATTCTGAGCTTTAAAGTCTGCATTTACTCTTACTAATCTTTTTTCAATATCTGCTAGTTGTGCATTTGATGAATCTAATTGACGTTGTCGATCTTCTACCGATATTTCTTGCAATGCTTGAATCAATTCATCTCTTCTTCTGACCAAATTATTAGTCAATAAATTCTCCAATTTATTTTTCTCAGCTTCTAACCGCATTCGCTTAGCAAATGCCTCTTTGTTATCTTTTGTTAAACGCCTTATGTCATCATTTAATGTATCAACTTGACGTTGATCAGCAACAGACAGTTGTGCCATAAGCTCTTGATGTAATTCACTTTCTAAGCCTTCTTTTGTTGCACGCATTGCTTCTAAGCTTGATGTACACTGTGCTAGACTTCTTTCTTTCGGTGTGCGGTACCGTTCTATTGCGTTTAGTTCTTCCTTCATAAGTCGTATTTCTGCTTTCATTTTATCATACACATCTCTATAAAAATAAGAAAATTGTTCGAAATGTTGGATTTCTTATCGCTATGTTTTATGTTAACAATTGTTTTAATTTTTCTGTAACTTACTTAGCTTTGCTATTTTTAGTTTCTGTTCTTTGCATTTCGCTAACATAAGAACTGATATTTTGATCTGCTCTTCTGATTTCTTCTTTAAGAGTGGAAAATTGAGATTCAAGAGTTGAAATTTGAGTTATTAACTCTGATCTAGTTTTTTGTATTTCTAATCGAGATCTTAGTGTATTAAAATATCCGCCTGTTAATGATCCTTTTGAAGATACTTGATCACCTTCAAGAGTTACACAATCTAAACCTGAAGTACGAGCCAGATTTGTTGCGGCTTCTAAATTACGACAAATTAGTGTTTTTCCAAATATATACCTGCATTTGAAAATAAATGTAAAAATGTTTTACTTTCATTGTTTCTTAAATTTAAATATATCACTAAAAATTTTATTAATGCGTACCTCAAAGCTTTGTCATACTTTGAATCGTAATTTAATTGTGATATCATAGGTATAGCATCGCTAGTTTCTGGATAATCAATGTCTTTTACGTGAAGTCGATTTAATGGCATAAATGTTACTTCTCCCGGAAGACGCTGATTATTCATTTCTTTCAAAATTTTTGTTCCAAATTTATCAGTTTCCACGATATGATGAAATAATCGATTTCCTGCAGTTACCTCTACAGCCATATAAACACTCTTGTCGCAACTAAAATTCTCAATCACAGGCCCGTAATAACTATCCACTTCATGGGCCATATCTTTACGTGTTCTGAGAAGGAAACATATGTTAATGAGAATTATATTTTTAAATCATTTAAATAATATTTACCGAAATGTATCTAAAACTTTTCGCACACTGTCTCGACCATTTAGAATAGGTTTTCCTGCCATGGATCGTAAGCTTTGATCTGCTTTGGCCAAATCTTCTTTTAGTCCAGATAAATTTAGTTGTAATACACTCTCTTGTCGATATCTAGAATACAAATCTTTATCTTATATTTTGTTAAAATTCTTTAACTATAAAAAAGGCTATATAATAAACAAACTGTTCTTTTCGAGTAGCTTGACACTGATCCTTTGCTTTAGTAAGTTCGTAATATTGTTTATTGTGTTCGTCTATTGAAGTTCGTTGTTGTTCCATTTCACGCGTGTGTTCTTCGATCTTTTTTTCTAAAGTATCTTGTTTTTCTGCATCTCGTTTTAAGTCTTCGCTAATTTTTCTTTGATGTTCTTCTTTATCTTTAATTTGTTTGGTAAGTTGTTTAAGTTCATTTTGTATCCATTTATCTCTTTCATCCTAACACGAAAAAAAGGAATTATTAAAATATTTTTTTCTATATATATTTCATTTTGAATATACTAGTCATATCGAGTACCCTGCTAGTAAATTGACTGCCACGTCCTTGTTTGGCATATAATTCTTTCCGTTTTTGCTCTTTCAGTTGTAATTCACGTGTACATTCTTCCTCGGTACGTTTCATTTCTTCATACTAAAATAAAATTATTAATGAAATTGTTATCAAGCACATAAATAATGTTGTAACTTACGTCTGGTTTTAGTCGTTCCAATTCTGCTGCCTTTACTGAAATGTTACCTTCCAATTTTTCTAATTCTTGTTGAGCACGTTTTCGGCTATCGTTATCCCCTTTTACTTCTTCTAATAAATCGTTAATAGTTAATGTTAATTTAGTTTTCTCTTTTAATAACTGTTGTTGTTCAGCACTGAAAATTTTATCTTTGTTTTACCACTAATATAAATGATTGTTACAAATTAGTTTCATAGAATTATATAATGTTACCTTAGTGTGTCTCGTTCTTCTTTTGCAGTTTGTACTTCTTTTTTTGCTTCCTTAAGACGTTTTGTCGCTGCTCTCACCATTTCCTGTGCTGTTTTTGCTTCTGCACATAATCTGGCTTGTTCAGCTCCACTATTTGCTCTAGATTTTTCCAGATCTTCCAATTTCCTTTTATTTTCCTTGAGCTCTCTTTCGTGAATTGTATATTCTAAACATCGGCGTTGTTTATCCCAACACTGATATTCTTTAAGTTCTTCTTTTTCCTCTTCCAATGTTTTTAAACGTTCCTCTACAATTATGAAATTGTAAATTAGTAATTATACTTCAAAACATCATAAACTTAAATAATGATTTACCTATAGTTCTTAAAAAATCTTGAATTTTTTCTAGTTTCCCTTCAGTTTCTTTTAAAATAAATTTTGATTCCTCTCTCCTGTCATCATATACTCTAGTACCAGCTACTTCCCTTAATAATTTAAGTCTTTGAGAATCAGGTGCGGTTGCCATTTGGTTAATCTATACAATGCAATAGAACATATTTTTTCTGCTCTTATAAATAAGTACATCATAAAACATACCTTTCCCTGTTTTACAATATAGTATGGATTTGATCGTGAAAATCCTGCTGATTCTAACAAATTCATTACATCATTTCTTGTTACTATTCTTTTATTCAAGAAGTACTGATCCTTCTTTGAGCCAATTACCCTTCTTAAATATACTTCTTCTTTATCAATCTGAAAGAACAAATAATGACAGAAAATTAATAATTCAATAAAAATACAAAATTGTGTAATAATAAATTTTACATACTGGTAATCTTCCATCAGAATTATCAAATATAATTTCCACATGTGCAGAAATAACTCTTGGTCCTGTGCCTTCATGTAATAAGGCTTGTCTCTGTTCAGGTCTGAGATGAGAAAATTCATCGCTCAAAACAAACTGGATTGCATAAAAAAAGTTGCTTTTGCCAGAACCGTTTCTTCCAACTTGATACAAAGAAAAACCATTTGTAAATTTGATTTAAAAAATCTTATATTCTATTAAAATGAAGTAAATATACATACCTACTACATTATGTCTTGGATCAAAGGGCTCTACTACTGTTTGTTCACGATATGACTTAAAACCCTGTATGATTACCTGATCATAGAAAAATTCATTATGTATAAAATATAATTATCTCTTTATGACATTTTATTTTGTTGAATGGTACATTTTAAAATAGCAAATAAAAACATTCCTATGTAAAATTAGTGTCATAGTATATTTCTAATCACTTATGTAGATATATATTTACATGTGTGATAACATTTTTTTCGAGGTATGTGTTTAACCATGTAATCGTAAGATTCTGTTAGATTCCGTATCAAATGTAAAAGAATAGAAAAATTGTGCATAAAATAATGTTTGTGTTAGCATTAAACGATAGTAGCCATACTTTCTTCGAATGAAGAGCGTCTATTAACAGGAAATTGCAGGTACCGCGCAAAAAGAGAGAAATTTAGAAAACATTTTAAATCTTTTTTGTGATACCTGTTTAATATACATAGTGAGATTGAAATTCACACGAGTATTTCTCGTGTTAACACTCCACAACAACTCAGACGTCAAAAGTTGCTTTTCTGAATGGAACAAAAACTTTCAACCGACTTGTTGGCACAGCGACATTTGTAAAATAATCCGCAAGGCGACGACGTAATAAAGTTCCTAGATTTGGGCGGGAGACACATTTTCATGACCACTATTTAGGCAAAAAAACACTATTTTCTAATTTTATTTATATATTTAAATGTACGATCTTTCAAGGTTATGTTTTATTTTTTATTATGAAAATGAATAGTTACAGAAATAATATTACAATTATGAGTCATAATGATAATTTTAACTTTTATAAGAGTATAAAGAAAGATCCTAAAATATTTAAATATTAGCAATATATTAAATTTAATTTAATGATGAATACTAAGAGCATCGCTTTGAACTTCATGACTCAATTGTGTTTGTAAATTTGATAATTTATTTTTCAATGCTGCAATACCCATTATGACAATATTTTCAGGTTTTAGAGCTCCACTACTTTCCACATTGAAGTAGTATTTATTTGGTTTAGCTTCCCAATTGAATGGTGCTTCATCTAGAACATTTTACAATTAATTCAATATGCAATCAATACTCAAAATAAAATAATACTTACATTGATCTTCTTCCAATTCACTATATTCTGACTTTGGCCATTCATCAGGTTTTGGAAACAATGTGTGTCTCATAGCATTATCTGGATCATATTCAAAACTTACACCAGCAGTGGGGTTCCATTTTGCATGTTCTTTTCCAAAACCTTTTTTTGCATATGCTCTTAACTTCAATTCTTGTCCTTTTCTCAATTTCACTATCAATATCTCTGTATAAAAATATGTCAATTCATATCATGTAATACATTATGAAAATAATGGATATACTATATAAAAAAACAATATGAACCATCTGTTTCTCCATATTCACTAGCATCATCTTCTCTGTGTCTAGATGTAACTGGAAGTACTCTTGGATCACTGGATTTGAAATCTTTAGTAGTCACATGTCGAGTCTGATCTTCTGTACATTTTACATCAAGCGTAAACTCGACGCTGCATTCTGGGCAGAAATCCATGCATTGACAGTCTCTTGTATATTGTATCCTATCAATAACCTAAAGAATTTTAATATCATACTTACTATTTTAATATTTCTATTTTTATTAAAAAATCTCGAATATATTAAATGATTAATTTTCAATTATTTACATCATCACTTATTAATGGTATCATTCCGATCCTATGTGCTAAAAATTCATCACTTAACACGGTTGAATTAGCTTCCAATTGTATCCAATCAATAGCCATAGTAGGTGTCTCAGCAATAAAGACGCGTCTCATACTATTTGCTACACTGTAAAATTAAAAAAGAGAGAAATAGATGTCAAAAGCTCTCTGACATAACCTCTTACCTTAGTTCTGTGTCTTCCACTTGAAATTTCACATTTTCCTCTGTTAAATCTGAAATATGAACTGATGGTTGATTTGCGTATGGCATTTTGTTCAATTTTTTATATTAAAATCAATATCAATGGAATATATTTTCTAATTAATGTTTCTTTTTCTACAACTTTTAAATGGCGTTACTGTGTCATACACTGTGTCAATTAGAAATGTAGCGCCATCTCGAAAGATTTATATATATATATATAATTTAAAAACATAGAATTTCAAAAAACGCAATAGAATATAAACTTATGTAAGATGTAATGTATTTTTTATTTTAAAAAATTTATTATACATTTTTCGTCACATAATATGAAAAGTAGACAAAACTGCATTAAAGGTTATATGTGGACGCTAAACAACATAATTATATATATATAAATACTGAACAATAATTAATAAAATTAATATTTTAAATTACTATTTTCCTAAATTCTTATACTTTACTTTCACTTATTTTTGTAATTCCACAAAAGAAGATATTAATGCACATAAATCAATGTACATAATCAACTGTTTATATAATAAATAATAAAATTAAAATTTTGGTAACTCTTATTGATACTAAATCTTATAACATAAGTATTATTGTACTAACATTTGTATAAGATGATGCCAGTTTTTTATGGCACTAAACTTTTGTAAAAATTGGAAGACTGTGGCTTGTGAGACTATTTGTTGAATATCTTAAACAAATTCGTGCAATTGTAAATGTTTGTAGATATTGTATCAGTGGTGATATAAATGTATTCTAAATGCAGCATAAATAGGAATACCAAAACATATAAGAGCTAAAATCATGGCATTAAAAATTATTAAAAATATTTTCAGCCATGTAAGTTGTTGATAACTATTATGAAAGGAAGTAAAAATTTTGCTAATCCATTTAGCAATCGATTTTCAAAATTCATCCGTGAAACGTTCAATATCTTGTAAATGATCTCCATAATCTGTAGCTTCACTACCAACAAAAGCATCGTGATGGTCTAAAATTTCATCAAACGATAATCTATTATCGTGATCGTCATCGGATGCAGCAAATAAATGATCGACTTCGTCGCTTGCAATTTCCCTGAAATATTTAATGATGTGAAATATGTTTTGAAGTCAATCATCAAGAAATATTTTATATAATTATTTACTTACTCGTTACTAGGTACTAGCCAAGAAAGTATTTCATCAGAATCTAATCTTCCATCTCCATTTTTATCATGTTCATAGTCAAATTTATCTTTTTCTATTAACAACCATTCTTTATCTTCAGCTTTAGCTCTATTTCCAATAAATTCTTGGAAACTAATATATCCATCTTTATCTGTATCCTTGTCATCTAGAGCTTGCTTCAATAGAAGTGGAAACATTCTTGGTGTTTCTTCAGGATGTGTATAAGCTTTAAATTCTTCTGCATTTAGATAACCATCTTTGTCCATATCAGCAGCTACAAAGGTTTCCTTATCATCAGTGATAAGTTTGTCATCCACTGCTAAGTCTTTTGGATCTGTGCCGTACGTATCTTGAAGGATTTCATTCCAATTGACTTTACCATCTTCATCTGTATCAGCATCTTCCAATCGATCCTGAGATTCTTCAGCAGAAAGCATGCTAAAGGAACGTAGAATCCAAGCTTTTAGTTCGTTTCTTTCGATAAATTTGTCATTGTTTAAATCCATCTTTGTCAATAAAATTGCTAGACGTCGTTTTGATTCTTTAGTTGGAAGTTTATCAAACTCTTCTGCCTCCTTTACACTCCCTATGAAAAATAAAAAAACATAGTTTATTTGTTGGTTCTTGGTTTCGAAGTGAAAGGTTCTTAATGCAATGCAAAATAAGAATTACCTAGAATAGCTTCATGATCAAATTCTTGATGATGTTCTCCCCCAGCATAGTGGTCCATGTCTCGCGGACTAAATGCACCATCCTCTGTTCTTTCATTGCTACTTTGTTTATTGTGCTGATGAGAGTGTATATGCGCGGATGCTGCATTTCCAAATGAAAATGATCCAAAAATCGTGAAGATAAAAAGGAGAAGAATTTCTACACGCATCTGGCGTGTATCCATTGTAGATTTTGAGAAAATTCTGGAAATCAGAATAAAAAAAGATAACCTCACAACATGAGGAATTTGACAGGTGCACTGTTATCTACACAGATCGTCACAACGACTTCTATCGATTGTTCGTCGTTACGCATATCGTATAATCGTTCTCGAAAATCGATATGATTCAAATTTGACCGTTTTCGAGAGATTCCTCCATTAATAATACTGTATACCACGGAAGTACAAAGTGCTCGTGTATAAAATTATGTTTATAATTAACGTAAATTCGTGTTTGAATCATGTTTATACAAGTATTGTGATCAAAGAAGCTTGTTCGATAAAATTTGCAATGGATGGTAGGAAAATAATAATCTCAGTGAATACCAGTAATATATTCATTCAAACGATTCAATATATTCAAGAATGACTTCATATATATAAAATGAGCTTCCAGTCTCGAATTCGTATTGTAAATTAAATAATTTTACTTACATTTTAAGAAATTTTTTTTCAAAATTGAATATTCATTGCCACGTGTCTTACTTTGGAGAATTCTCAATTTCCTCTTCGAGTCTACGATTTTAGTTAGTGAGATGAAACTTTCCTTTCAGTCAGGATGTCAGTACTTCTTTAGAATATCAGTGCTTGGCTGTGAAAAGAGACGAAGAAAAAAAGCGTTAGGTCTGCCTTAGCCACGATCAGTATGTGCGGTCATGATTTTGTTCTAGGGTGAGCGTTCAAAAATAGACGTACTAACACGCGTTCAATTTATTTCTAACTTCAGTGATCATCAAGTAAATGACACAGAAAGGAGAGAAAGAGAGACTGATGACGGGAGAATAAATTATCACAAAAACGTTATTTCCTCATTCGATAAATTACGTAAATGTAAAACGGAAGTACGCTCTCTAAAAATATCTATCTAGAAATATTTTTAGCTCGAAAGCGTATCATTCAATTTTACTTTTCTCTTTCACAAATTAAAAACTTTCTAAATATAAAGATTCAAGATATTTGTCCAAATCTCGAACAGTTATCTCTCAAACATGCAAAATAGCATAAGTAGTGTTAAGTAGTTTTCTGTAACTATTTGTCCTTCGAACCCAATTTTAATACTAAGCAGAATATTGATTTTATTACTATAAAAAGACTATTTTATCGAAGGCCGTCTGAAAATGTCAGATTCTTTAAACATTTGAAAGTCGTCTGCAAAGTTATTACATAGATGATATATATGAATAGACCTTTCATTTTGGGGTCCTAGGATCCCTTACCATTTTTGTGTCACATTCTGTTGTACCGATTTAGATAGATTTTGCACCGCAGCACTACTAGTGATGAGAATTAAAATGAAAAAATATGGACAGTATAATTATATCTGCTCTGAGAATTATTTATTGAATTGAACGTGGTGATATTTCATTAATGAAGGAATATAACGATTTAAAACAGCGATTGATGGAAAGTGGGATGATAAATTCATCATATATTTGATTATTGACATATATTTAAAGGTATTAGAAAAAATTGATTGAAATATATTTTTTAATAACATAATTAGATATGAATTAGATATGACATTTTTTACTTATTTTAGTGTGTAACTTCAGTAATCTGAGTGAATCCTGCAAACTCGATTTTATAAAAGCTTGTAAGTATCAAAGAAATGTTTTCAAAAATATTGTTTGGTATATATTTGGTTCTACAAATAAAATTATATTGTTTGGCGTAAATTATTTTTTGCAGATCGTTCGTTTCTAAAATTTTGAAGTCATTTATTAAGACAAATTCAATGATTTGCATATGAGGTATAATATAATAAATAAAAATTAATGAGTTATTTAATAGTTATTTAAAATAATGAAAACGAATCCTACAGCTAGTTTTAAGGACTCACTGTAAAGGGAAGTTGCATGATATAAAAATAAATATCTTTGAACGAAATAAACTCAGGATTGTTAAAGTGGAGATCTGACTCTTTAAAATAAAATCAAGTTAATTGTTCTACAATTTTTTTTCATGAAATTACAACAGTTTAAGGTATTGACAATTTTTTATCTAGTGTATTTTCGTTCTTTTAATAATATCTCATGAATTTTGTGTATTTAATTCAAACTAAAGTTTTTTATTTTTTATTCCAAGTTAATATTTCGTGTGAAATGCGCGCGATTGGGTTTAAATTAGTTGAAGATTACAGCGCCACTACACGGTGAAATAGGCAATACACTTCCTACGATTCTCGAACGTAATCGATATTTCTTATGATCGACGGGAGAGCAAACCCTAATGGTGGAAAGAAGCACACTTCATCTGTAAAAAAGGAAGTGTCATCCAGAAAAATCATTCAGAAAGAAGTGTCATCCAGAAGTTCTCAGGTAAAACTTAAAATCTATAGCTATTAGACTTGTGTTTGTGTTGTCAATTTTTTAATTAGAACATACATTTTCAATTAAAATTTGAATTAAAACTTACGGCTTCAATTTATTGAAATCTGGCAGATCACCGAAAAAGTATAATTTTTAATCCCTTAAAGATTTAACCAAATAATTATTACACATGATTTTCAATAATTAAATAAATAATAGCACATAAACATTTAAATAGAACATATTATTTAAATATTATTTATAATTTTTATATCAAAATTTAATTTCAATTCTAACCAGTAGAAATATAACCTTGTAATTGACTAACTCGTTGTTATACACACACACACACACACGTATTTTATTATATGTTTTTACACGCACTTCTATTATTTGTTGATACTTTAACTTCATATTGCGCAATTTTTAATAATTTTAATAATTGTATTAACAATAATTTATTAAGAATGTACGTATTCAATAGTTAAAATAATAATTTTAAATCGTCGATTTCACTCTTAGGTTATTGGTACCTTATTTTATACGCTTTTTAAATAGAATTTAAAAGTTGATTATTGCTTCACTTTTATGTATTTGTCTTCATTTGACATATTTATTTTAACTTTTGGTTTCTTTTTGTGCAGGTTATTCCTTGGTTGCAAAGATAGCATAGATGCTACGATCATTAATGAACAATATGATGAACTTTCACGGAAAGTTGGTAACATTTTATTCATTCCAGGTAACATTTGCTATATAATTTATATATATTTGAAATACAATTCACAATACATAATTTCATAATTATATGAGATACAAGAATGAAAATAGAAAAGATTAAATCAATTAATAATTTATTTCGAATATGGAGTTCATAGTAGTTTAATGGTACATAGTTTCAAATGGATATATGTTCTTCTAGATTATCAAATTCAAAGTTTTTGTATTTTATTATAGTATACTTTGCTACACTATACTTTTTCCGAACGCTGACGCGTGAATAAATAAAATCAAAGCAAGATTTCATACATTTAGCTGTGAAATTTTGATCGTGCAAACATTTTCGAATATTTATAATACACGACGTGATATATTACTAATGTGCATACTTCACTTTAATAACATTTGGAATACAGTTTCGATAAATATATCTGCAGATATTGAGAAATACTTTACAATTTTCAACTAATATCTTTAATATTCATACATATTCATTTATAATCATTTTCTAGAAAAATAGCAGCATTTTCTAAATGAACGTACTCTTTGCCCTTTCACTTCTAATCAGCTTTATTTTCAGAAAATTTTTGTGACCGCGCGCAATGCGGTCGGTAGAATCAGTGTTTGTTGTGCAATGTTTTAATATTTTTCTGAGCAAAATGACTCTCATTAAATTAGATTATTAATTCATTTAAATTCGCAAAGTTAGAGTCAGTGAGATCCCTGGTTGTTACTTAAACGCGCGCGTTGATAGTCTTTTATTTTTCTTTTTTTATATTTTTT